AAATGTATATATGTGTGTTTACACACATTTTGCTTTTATGAACCATTTTAAAATAAGTTCCAGACCTTGTGCCAGTTCACCCACAAACAGAACAGGACATACTGCTTAGGAAGAGCGTTCTCTTCTGTAATCACAGTTCCATGATCACATTAGCAATAATTCCTAATGTTTTCTAACATGTAGGCATATTCCAATTTCTGCGGTTGTCCCAATGTCTCCTGTGTGTATGTGTGCACACACATGTGTGTGTGTGTATTTGGTATCAGGATCCCATCCAGGGAAACCAGATCCTAAGGTTCAGTAATACTGAATGGACCTTTTGGCTCAGATAAATTGTGTCATTTAAATAACTGACTTGATTGCTTTAAGGAAAACCCAACTTAATGATGGCTTGAATAAGGAAGATGTTTATTTCTGTCATTTGTAACCACCTGGAGATAAAGTGGTCCCGGGTTGGTTGGGGAGATCAGTTTTACTCAATGTGTGGCTTCTGTTTTTGAGGCCAAGCTAGGTGTTTCAGCCCTAGCATCACGCTGGACAGAGGGGAGGGGAGGGGAGTGCATACTCAGTCCTTCTGCAGGCACGCTTGGATGTCACACATGTCGCCTCTGCTCCGATCTCATTGGTAAGAATGTAATCATATGATGTTTCTATATGTTAGAGGCCTGGAAGTGCGGGCTTTGTTCTGGATGGCCATGCATATGGTGACAATTCAAGTCCCTGAAGAAAGACCGACTCCTGGGGCAGCAGGTAGCATCCCTGCCACAAGTTCTCTTTCTGTAAATGAGCTATTCCAAATGATATTAAATCCATTTAATTACCCCGAATCCATTGCAATATGACATTTCTCTTTTGAGCTCTATCAGGCTTGTAATTGCTCCTATGCTGAGCCCAGAATGTTATTTAAAAAATTATTTTACAGATGTTCTGTCATTTTTTTTTATTAGGGCATAGCCATTGCTGCTGACAGCTGTCAGCATGTTCACACTTTTCTAATTTGCTATTTTCTTTTCTCTGGGCTGGGAAAGCAGGTGACAATTACCATCATAATAATGCTGTGATTGTGTGTTTTATGCATGCTGTCCAGCGTTAGGAACTTCGACATCTTATATCTAACTTTGGAACTCTTACACAAATAGAGTCATTTTGCAAGGGAAGAGGCTCCAGCTCCTGCGATATCAGCAACCTGTGTGTGAGAACTACATTGTTGCAACCAGAACCGACACGGAGGCCCTCAGTGAGGCCTGGGAATCTACCAGTAAAAAGTTTCATAGTTTTTATTACAAAGATGTTGAAGCATCTATTTTGATAATGTATTTAGAGGCATTTTTATACTTTTTAATTTTTGCTGGCTATAGACAAATGGGATTGCTAAATAGTTAACTTCTCAATAGACAAGAGTTCTCACTGCCTAAATAGATCTCTGTGAATATACTTGTACAATGTGCATACAAACTCATAGCTTTTTGAGAAAACTTTAATAAGCATAGTGGAAAAATATTAGATTTTAAAAAGCTTAAAACAGTGACTGCAGAGCCCACTAAGCATCATAAAAGAACGAGTATCGAGAGAATACGCTTCAAAACAGCTTCAGCGGGAACAATCCTTTGCTCTCCAGGGAGGTCCCAGAATGACTCAGATCTGTGGCTAGTGGGCCGTGCTAAGACAGAATTCAACCTGGACCATGTCTCTGGTGATAGAACTATCGAGCAGTCAAGGTGGGGTGGGGTATGTAGCGGTAATAAACACCCCCAAATCTTAGGGTTTTTTTTTTCAAAAAACTCCTTTGGCAACACATTTTCTTTTTAGAAATTGCCCCTGAGTCCATAGTCAGATACAATAATTAGAGTATCATCCATTTCTATGCAATTTAACTTTATTTGACCGAAGTATTCTTTAAATTTCAAAATTTAAGTGTACTATATTGGCACTTATAGCCAAGGTAATATGGAATTGTTCTACAGGACTTGCTGTATATGGGTTAGAGATGACAAATTAGTTAGAGGATTGACCTTTTACTTATTTCCTTAGTGAGTAGCTTACCTGTATTTTTTGGACCATAAGACACACCTAGATTTTAGAGGAGGAAAATAGGGAAAAAATGTTGAAGCAAAAAAGGTGGTAAAATATTTAATAACATAAATAACATAATATTTCATCAATATAAATGTAAATAAAACTCAACAGCAGCACTAACAACCATTATTGCTCCCAAACAGGAGGTGAGTCTTATATTCCAAAAATATGATAATTGTTCTCTGACATTGTTCCTCTGTGTATAATCCCACCAGCAGAACGTGAAAAGTTATAGCCACCGGATCTTTTTCAGATTAAGGATACTACAGTGTCATAGAAATCATCATCATTATCATCCTCTCAGTATATTTTGAGCATTGTGAATTTCATAGTTGATACTTGTAGACTGGTAGTAAAAGACCCCTTAAAATCAATCTGTAGTTTAGGGCAATCAATGATTATTAGTATTTTTAAAAATACATTTTATTGATTATGCCATTACAGTTGACCCATTTCCCCCTCTTCAGTCCCCTCCACCCTGCACACCCCCTCCCACTCACATTCCCCTCCTTTAGTTCATGTCCATGTGTCATAAGTTCTTTAGCTTCTACATTTCCCATACTATTCTTGCCCTCCCCTGTCTATTTTCTACCTACTGTCTATGCTACTTATTCTCTGTACCTTCTCCCCCCTTCTCCTCCTCTCACTCCCCTGTTGCTAACCCTCCATGTGATCTCCATTTCTGTGGTTCTGTTTCTGTTCTACTTGTTAGCTTTTGTTTTAGGTGTGGTTGTTAATAACTGTGAGTTTGCTGTCCTTTCACTGTTCATCTTTTTTATCTTCTTTTTCTTAGGTAAGTCCCTTTAACATTTCATATACTAAGGGCTTGATGATGATGAACTACTTTAACTTGACCTTACCTGAGAAGCACTTCATCTGCCCTTCCATTCTAAATGAAAGCTTTGCTGGATAGATCAGTCTTGGATGTAGGTCTTTGGGTTTCATGACTTGGAATGCTTCTTTCCAGTCCCTTCTTGCCTGGAAGGTCTCTTTTGAGAAATCAGCTGACATTCTGATGGGAACTCCTTTGTAGGTGACTGTCCCCTTATCTCTTGCTGCTTCTAGGATTCTCTCCTTCATTTTAATCTTGGCTAATATAATTATGATGTGCCTTGGTGTGTTCTTCCTTGGGTCCAACTTCTTTGGGACTCTCTGAGCTTCCTGGACTTCCGGGAAGTCTATTTCCTTTGCCAGATTGGGGGAGTTCTCCTTTATTATTTGTTCAAATAAGTTTTCCACTTGTTGCTCTTCCTCTTCCCTTTCTTGTACCCCTATAATTTGGATGTTGGAATGTTTAAAGATGTCCTGGAGGTTCCTAAGCTTCTCCTCGTTTTTTTGAATTTTTGTTTCTTCATTCTTTTCTGTTTGATTGTTTCTTTCTTCCTTTGGTCCACTCCATTGATTTGAATCCCAGTTTTCTTTCCATAAGTATTGGTTCCCTGTGCATTTTCTTTGATTACACTTAGTGTAGCCTTCATTTGTTCATCTAATTTGTGACCAAATTCAACCAATTCTGTGAGCATCCTGATCACCAGTGCTTTGAACTGTGCATCTGATAGGTGGGCTATCTCTTCATTGCTTAGTTGTATTCGCTGAGGAGCTTTAACCTGTCCTTCCATTTGGGCCATTTTTTTTCGTCTGGTCACACCTGTTATATATGAGGGGCAGAGCCTTAGGTGTTCACCAAGGCGGGGCAACCTAGTGGCTAGGTTGTGATGCTGTATGTGGGGTTGGGGTCAGAGGGGGGGGCAATGGTGTTTGTTCCACTCTCTCTCAGATTTTGGTCCCCGCTGCTGCTTCCCGCAAGCATACTGGCCCTTCTGGTGCTGGTTCCCAGGTGGGTGGGCTCGTGTATGTTCTAGGACCCCGTGGGTCTCTCCACCGAACTCTCCTGTGAGGCTGGGAGTCTCTCCCTGCACCTCAACCCCCACAGGTGTTTCCGGTTGGTGTTTCGAGGCTTTATTTCCTGGTGCTGGGGCCCTGGGTTGCACGGTCTGTCTCAGTCCCCAGTTTTACCCGGTTTATCTGCATGTGAATGTGGGACCACCTGGTCAGCCAGCTGCCCCATGTGCTGTGCCCCACTTCACAGTTGCCACCTTGCTGGGTCCGCCCGCTGCCACCTCATGCCTGGGGTCTGCCAGCCACCGCCTGCTCCCCCAGGATTCGCCCACCACCATCCTGCGTGCTCGGAGTTCGTCAGCTGCTGCCCTGTGCCTGGTGCCACTGCCCTCTCTTGCTGCAATCCCTCTCTGCCTGGGGGATCAACGCTGTCCCCTCCTGCCGGTCTGGATGAATTTGTCTATTTTAACTGCTTGGTTGTCGGACTTCCGTACAGTTCAATTTTTCTGTCAGTTCTGGTTGTTATTTTGTTTCTAAATTGTTGTCCCCACTTTGGTTGTGCGAGGAGGCACAGTGTGTCCATCTTGGCCCTGATTATTAGTATTTTTGCCCACATATGTATTTTTTCACTCCCAACAGTGTTTAATACTGTGACTGGAGTAAAACTGGCGCCTCATCCACGTCTGTGGATTTGGCGTGCTGGGTTTGCCTGGCGCCCAAGTCACTGCAAAGTATTAGGCTGGTGTTTTCTGAAGAAATTAGCCATGTGCAGAGTGGTCGTTGTATTTCTGATTTGGGGGAAAATGATATTTTGCAAAGAGTCCTGATTGTTATAGAGGATTATCTGGAGCTAGGGATTTTAACATACAATAAATGAGAGTAATTGTACTTAAAAATATAGGCATCTGAATCCTTTAAAATGGAGAAGTGTATATATACAGTCTGATAGCTTCATCAGTTTGTAATTGAAAGTTTGAACTGCTTCTTTTCCCCCTCGGGGAAAAAATAAACTTATGACATATCTGTGACGGAGAGTGATAAATATTTAAGAGTAGGTCACCTAATTTTCTCTTCTTCTTCTTCAGGTCGAGATTTGATTTGCATCCAGTCCATGGATGGGATCCTGATGGTGTTCGAGCAGGAGAGCTATGCTTTTGGGAGGTTCCTCCCCGGTTCTCTTCTGCCCGGCCCTCTTGCCTACAGTTCCCGGACAGATTCCTTCATTACCGTCTCTTCCTGCCGGCACGTGGAAAGTTACAAGTAAGTTTGGATGTCCAGCCTTTGAAATCGTGGTTTTTTTGGTGCGTACATTGCTGATTAGGTCTTTTCCACAAAGAGCTTCAATATCACAAATACAGAAGAGCCCCCTCCCTTAAAATAAAATGTACTTTTGGTGACATAGAGGTATCATTTATGTGTGGTAAGATATTTGGAAGGCGGTCCGGTGCAGAGGCTGAGAGGGGGGTTTGCAGAGAGGTGGACCTGGACTGGAACCATGATTTTGCTGTTCCCAGCAGTTGGGTGGCCAGTGTTCTGGCTGCAAAGTGGATAATAACAGCTATTTGACAAGTTTTTTTATGAGGATGATATGGTGTCAAGTGGCCACCCTATAGAAAATGTTCAACAATTATTGATACTGTTCCTGGAATTATAAATAATAAAACACAGGGTCAGTGAAAACCCAATATGAAGATACGTATGTGGAATTATTTTATATAAAAAAGATGTATGTATACATAGGAAGGCTGGCAGACATACAAGCATTGTTACAAATGTTCGTAAAAGAATGGTGATAATAGAAGTGAAGTACGAAGATGGCCCTGTGAAAGCAGTTTATATTTTTTACTAGAAATCCTGACTGATTTTGGTGACTTGTGTTTAGAGAGAGAATTTTTTTCTCCTCTATCAGCTACAGTTCAATAAAAATTAATGTTTTGAGATTTTGGAGGCTGTGTTTTATGTTGGAAGGGAGAATGGGGAAAAGAAAGAAGTCCATGCTGGGAAAGAAATGGACTTGGGGACTTACAGTATCTTCAGTAACTTTTTTTGTTGTTATCTTACTGATGGCAACAGTTAGAACTTTAAACGTCTACGCAACACTTCATTATAGGTTTTCAGTATTATTTTTGGCCTCGTGTTTTTCCCAGCACAGGAAGAAAATATAAATCCATCAGGCAACAGCTGTGCGTTTTTGTCTTCAGGTTTCACTACTGCATTTATCGCAAGGTGATGCAGTTTTCCCTTCGAACATGGCAACCCAGCTTCTGGGAATTACTGTCAGGGCACCTAGGATCCAGAACCCTGAAAACAGGCCAGTGTTTGTGACCAAGAAGTTAACTGGTGGAGGCAGTGCATCATTATGTCACCTTCCTGCCATCACTCCTGTGGCCCTTGTCCAAAGGAGATGAATGAATTGTGGCACTGCTACTGTAATAAATAAAATATTATAGTTATCTTGAGAGGTTGAGAAAAGTATCTGTATAATGCATTCAAACCTGTCAAAACCCAAGTAGTATTGAGGAGATCTGCTTTTCAGCTTTCCACCCAGTGCTGTGTCTCAACTCCTGCCAAGCAGTGATACTGGCAGTGCTAGACAGGGGTCACAGCGCAGAGATCTGTGTGCTCCATGACCTACTCTTTGAAATATGTGCATAGGAATTAACTCGGTAATAACCCCAGGAGCGATTGGACGAGGAAGCGATGTGTAGGTTCCCTTAATGGGTAAATTTAATCCCATCGAAGCTCACACTGTTTTAACTGCGGTGATTCAGCCTGCCAGTCTGTTAAATTCATCTCCGTTTGGGACTAAAGAATTCACCACTTGATCCATCATGTGGGTCTTTGATAATGGTAAAACTGCATGGGTTATGTGATTATTATGCAATGGTGACAGTCAGGAGGGTTTATTATATTAAATAGTGTGTTGTATTTACCTGTGCTTTCAAGTTTAATAGATAAAATTGAACAATAATCATGGGTGCAGTTTGGGATGGGAGAAAGCGTGGAAACTGGAGGTTCTTTTGAAGCTTCACTAAACATATTTATAATCAGTTAATAGAATGCAATCAGTTAGTACAAAAGGCTTTTTGGACAGAATTCATTTTTGTTTTTGATACCGATGTTTAATTACTTTAAAACAAGCTCGGTTATGTTCAGATAGAAACTAGGGGAGTCCGTGGGTCTCCGACTTCAGTGTGGGAAGCCTGGTATCAAATGCTCATTTGCAGATTCCCAGTCCCCAATACCCTAGGTTTTGATTTAGTAGTTTTTGGAAATGTCCCAGAAATTGTCATTGTAAACACACAGGTAGGATTCTAAATCGGGGACACACATTGAGAGTTGTTTTTCTTTTGAAGTAAGGAATTCGTTGGCCTTTTTTGGAGGGGTAGCTTCTGTACCACTATTCTTTTGGCCATATTTATCAAACCTTAGAATCATTTTTTATTCTCTTTTTCTTCCCTTGTCAGAGTTATTGAGTCAGTAAATCCTGACCTTTGTACCTTTTTTTCCTCTTATTCAACCCTTACTTCCCATTTCCATTGGCACTGAGGCCTTTATTTTTCACTTAGACTTCTGATTTTTTTGCCTGTAGATTTTAGGGTCATTCTTGTAGCTATCTTAAAATATTTTTTATCCTCACCTGAGGACGTTTTTTCATTGCTTTTAGAGGGAGAGGGAGGGAGAGAGAGAAACACCAATGTGAAAGAGAAACATCAATGGAATGCCTCCTGTATGCGTCTGGATGGGGGGTGTCAAACCTGCAACCCAGGCATGTGCCCTGACTGAGAATCAAACCCACAATGTTTTGGCTGTGGGATGGTGCTCCCAACCTACTGCACCACATCAGCCAGGGCTATAGCTGTCTTTTTAAAACACGCTTTAAGCCAGAATTTTTGTTTCTCATTAAAAAATCCAAACTTTCTTATATTGACATTTAGTGCTCTCTATAATCCAGTTTCATTTTATCTCTGTCACGTTGACTTTCAGATTTGGAATAGACTTTTAAAGTTAACTGGTTCAACTATCCCTCTTTTTTTTTTTTACCTCCTAGACAGATTTTTTTTTTGCCTAGTAAAGTGATTTTTGCACAGTATCATATATTGCCTTCTTATACTGTGTGTAACGTCCCAGACTTGCATTATCAGGTTCCTGAGAGCAGAATCTGTCTTAAATATCTGCTTACTGATGGAATAATTTGGTTTGTTTGTTCAGTCTTTCATTTAGAAAACATTTTTCAAGAGGCTTCTATGTGCCACACACTGTGTATAAGTACAGGAAATATAAAGTTAAATGAGACCTGTCTCTTGTCCTTAAGTGGTATGTAAGCAAGAGGGGGAGGTGGCAAATCAGTTGGCATTTTCAGTTTGTTGTGATCCAGGCTGCAGCAGAACTGTGCACCAGGTACTGAGGAGGCCTGCAGGGGGCTCCTTTAAATAAGAGTTGAATGTAGGGAGGCTCCTCGAAGAAGTGTATGTATTTGCCATGAGTTTTATTTTTCTCCTTTGTGCCCTACACTTTCCCTGCACCCTTATAGTGGCTCCCAGTACATTGTAAATAGACAATAGGCTTTAAATTTATATTTTGAAAAATACATTTGTCAAATTTAATTGACAGCATTTAAAAAGGAAGAGTATGTTCTTTGCCAGTCTTAGCCTCTTGTCAAATGGAAATATCAGGGGTTCTCCCTGTACGTCCACTTTTTCTCTTTCTCCTCTCTTGCTCAGGCTGTTCTCTTTCTGAAATGCCCTCCCTTCCTTCTCTGCAAATGGCAAAAAAGCCTCCCTGCTTCTTCAGGTCTTCCGTGACCTGGGTCTAAGCCATACCACCTCCTCCTCAATTCAGAGTAGTTTTTCATGTTTTCCACAAGTTCTGTTCATGCTTTCATTGATACTACATATTTGCTTCTTTTTCTTCTCAACTGAGTTAAATGATCCTTGATGGCAGGGGTTTTCTATCTCCTAAAGTGCCCAGCACTGCACCTGCCTGAAAGTAGGTGTTTAAGAAGATCTTCATGAAGGTGCAAAGTTTGTGAGGAATGTTTCTCTTTTGTTACTGGCGTCTTTCAATGAAAAGGAGTCATTGCTTCTCTCTGGCACACTCGAGGATGTTTTGGCTGCAGTTGGGAAGGGAACAATGTGAGGCTCTGTGTCCAGAGCCTCCGTTTCTAGTAGAATTCCCCCAGTTTAAATATCAAGGGTCCAAAATAGCCTGCTGTCCTTTGAGGTGCCAGCTGTTTCATTAGAAAATAAATGATTTTGGAGGGTTTCCTTTTGTACTCCATGACACCTCAGTCTATATTTTAGCTCCTTGCTGCTGTTTTTACGATGTGACACAGAAGAGCACTAAATTACGTGGTCGAGTTTGTCACTGGTGCTCCACAGGACCCATTAAACATTTGCGGTTATTGAGCTAGAAAGTGCCGCCGTTCGCCTGGACCTGCTGCATTTGTGATTGCTCCTTCTCCGATTTGTATGTGAGAACCACGTATAACAGTCTTTCACGAAATCTTATTGCATTGGGCCACACTGTTCCTCAGCAGTCTCAGCAAGGGAAGCATGTTCTTTAGCTTATATCACTGAGCACTTGCCTGGTAAGAAAAAAATATCCACGAGTTTTCTTCATTTTAGAATTTCTTACTGTGCTTGGAATTCTTTGGTTTTGGAAATAGATTACCATGTACATTATTGGTTGCAGTTAAGAGGATTTAGAGAAGAACCATAAAATAGGTGCCGCTGTAGGTTTGTCATCATCTACATTTACTGTCAGCTCTGTTTAGTAATAAAATACTCTTCTGGGTCACCTTCCAGGGAGAGAAATGATCTGGACTTGGAAACCTGCAGTCAGTTTTGGCTGTGTCTCTGCTTGCTGTTTTGATGTTAATGAGGCCACTTTAGGGGCTCACTTCTTCCTCAGATGAAATAAGAACTCTTTGTAGTTATATAAGAAGCTTCAAACAACTCAAAAGCTTTGGATTTTTGCAATGATCTCATTAATATCTCTATCGTCCTCTGGTAGGTTGGTGTCTGCAGGAAATTAACCATCTAGGTAATTAGTTGCCTAGGGTTAGATCCTCAGCAGGACCAGCTCTGGGCTCATGTTCTAGTCACCAGTGCACACTCTTTCTCTTACCATGAACTGAGAAGAGTAAAACAATCCTATTTGGAGGTTGGAATGTGAGGCCTAATTATTTGGCACTTTTGAAAGTCAGTCTCAGTTGGTATGGAGACGTTTGCTGCAGCTGCCTATGGGATTTTTTTTAGCAGGGTTTTACAAGGCTGAGCTCCTCACCCTTCTGCCTGTTGGTCTCATTGCCCGTGACTCAGTCCTCCCTGCCATGCCTCTCTCTTAAACTCCTGTCACGGCCTTTCATGTCTCTGACTGCTGCATGCCTTTGCATGCGGTGTTTGCTTTGCCATAACACCTTTACCTCCTTACCAGCACGATGAGTTTTCACTCATTCTTTAAAATGTAGTGTTCTCTTCCTGAACCTAGACCAAGAACATATATATTCTTCCACTTCCATTTCTGTTTCTGCCACCTTGTTCCCTTGGTACTGTGTGCATACCTTCTGTTAGCACAGTGCATTCTAAGTTACACTTATTTGTACGTGAATCTCTGCCACTTTGGGAGGTCCTGGTGGTTATAGACCATGTAGTTTTTTCCTTTGTCAGTCAGTGCTTGTATTAGACCCCTGCTGTGTGTTTTCTGAATGAGTGGAGTTTGTGTACATTAAACTTTCATATTAACTATAAACCTGATTTTTGTGAATGCCTTGCAGAATCTATCTTCATGCACAGTCATTCTGCCTCCACCTGAAATTGGAGGCTTTTTACAAATGAAGTATTCCTGATTGTGAGAGGATGGTGTAAGAGCTGGTGTATGATATTTGAATACCAGTGCATGCTTCAGTGCTTAGCTACCTGTGATGGCACATCACCTTCATTCAGGTCCCAGATGTTTGCACGATTGGACATCTTTTTCTCAGACAACATGAGGTGTCATAATAGAGCTTTTACTGATTTTCCTCTTAACTGTGAAAGAACAATGCAAAGAGTTGTGCCTCAATAGGAGGGAAGGGAATCTATAAGCCTTAAGGTTCTTCACTGACAGTAGGATTATTACTCTAACATCACTAATTAATGGGAAACAAGCAAATTTAAACTTTCTGTCTAAATCAGTCATTTCTAGAGTGAATGACATTTACAAGTTATTTTAAGTAATGGTTTGAGCTAAGTGTTACTATTGAAAGAAAAGCTGTAAAATACTTGTAAAAAGTAATAATAGCCATTATTGAGAACTTATTACATACTAGATAAACTACTAAGTTATTGATCTCTCTGCTTATATAAACCTTTATCTTTCGGTTAATCTATCAATGAATGCTTCAGCACCTAAAACATACCAGATACTGTACTAGGCACTCCATTATTTTTTAATTCTTTTAACAATGCTTGAGTTAGAGGTTGTTCTTCCCATTTTATTCATGGGGAAGGTAAGACACAGAGTGTTTAATTTTCCAGAATCCACTGAACTAGTAAGTGATTTAGCTGGGGCTTAGACTCCAGGCTTCTGAGCTCCCCGCTATGTGTTAGTAATTTCTGCCACATCTGGCTACTTAGCATCGTTTACATTTCTTTCTGTTTGGTGTTTTGGTACTAGATCTTTCTTGAGTGTTGCTATTTGTCACACAAAATTTTAATGGAAATGCTTTGATAGTTGGCATAACTATTTTCTCAGTATTGGGTTTTGGGACACATGGTTATCATTTCTTGATCATGACAGTTTTACATAGTCTTACTATGTAAATAGTCTTACATAATCAGAGTATCATTCTGTGAGAATTCAGTCCTAAATTTTACAATTTTTAAAACCAAGGTAAAAGTGGTTCATAAGGTTTATAGATTAAGGGCTTTATCTTCTCAATCAGCTTTATTGAGATAATATGCATTTAAAGTTTAAACTAATTTATACTTTTTTATTATAAAGTCCCTTTTCATTATTCCATATCTTTTTTTACAGGTACCAAGTACTTGCTTTTGCAACAGATGCAGATAAGAGACAGGAGACCGAACAGCAGAAACTTGGTTCTGGAAAAAGACTTGTTGTAAGGCCATTTTTTTTAGTATATAAAAATTTCAGTAATGTTACATTTATTTTTCTATATTTTAAAGATTTTATTTATTTATTTTTAGAGAGGGGGAGATGAAAGGAGAAAAAGAGAGAGAAAAACATTACTGTGTGTTTGCCTCTCATGTGCTCTGTACTAGGGAACTGGCCCATAGCCCAGACTTGTGCCCTGACTGGGAATTGAACTGGCAACACTTTGTTTTGCAGCCCATGCTCAATCCACTGAACCACACCAGCCAGGGCTTTATTTTCTATTTTTTAAATTAATTTTTAATTTTTCAATTATTGTTGACATTCAAGATTATTTTATATTAGTTCCAGGTGTATAGCATAGTGGTTAGACGTTTATGTAATTTACAAAGTGATCTCCCCCTAGCCAACCCCATAAGTCTAGTACCTATGTGGCACCACACATAGTTATTACAATGTTGTTGACTGTATTTCCTGTCCTACACTTTACATCCTCGTGACTGTCTTGTAACTGCCAATTTGTAGTTCTTAACCCCTTCTACCCAGCAGCGCAGCCCCTCTCCCATCTGGAAAACATCTGTATCTATGAGTCTATTTGTTTTATTTCTTTTATTCTTTAGATCCCACATATAAGTGCAATGATATGATATTTTTATTTCTCTTTCTGATTTATTTCACTTAGTATAATACCATCTAGGTCCATCCATGTTGTCACAAATGGTAAGATTTCACTCTTTATCTCTGAGTAATATTCCATTGTATATCTGTGCCACATTTTCTTTATCCACTCATCTATCAGTGGGCACTTAGGTTGCTTCCATATTTTGGCTGTTGTAAATAATTCTGTAATGAACATAGGGGGTATATATATCTTTTCACATTAGTGTTTTGGATTTTTTTGAACAAATACCCAGAACTGGAATTTCTGAGTCATTAGGTAGTTTAATTTTTTAAGGAACCTCCAAACTTTTTTCCATGTTGGCCACACCAATTTGCAGTCTCATCAACAGTGGACCAAGGTTCCCTTTTCTCCACATCCTTGCCAACACTTGTGTTTTATTGATTTATTAGTGGTAGCCATTCTGACAGGTGTGAGATGATATCTCATTTTGGTATTAATTTGCACTTCTGTGATGATTAGTGATGTGAGCTTTTCATATATGTGTTGGCCATTCGTATGTCTTCTTGGGAAAATGTCTATTCAGGTTCTCTGCCCACTGTTTAAGTGGATCTTTTGTGTTTTGATGTTAAGTTATGTGAGTTCTTTATAAATTTTGGATTTTAACTCCTTGTTGAATGTGTCATTGGTGAATATCTTCTCCAATTCAGAAAGTTGTCTTTTCTTTTTTAAAAGTGTATTTTATTGATTATGCTATTATAGTTGCCTTATTTTTTCTCCTCTTTATTCCCTTCCACCCTGCATGCCCTTGTCACCATTCATGTCCATGGGTCATATGTATAAGTTCTTTGGCTTCTCCATTTCATATACTATTCTTAACTTCCCCCTGTCTATTTTGTACCCACCATTTACACTTCTTATTTCCTTTACCTTTCCCCTCATTATCCCCCGGACCCCTCCCCACTGATAGCCCTCCATGTGAACTCCATTTCTGTGATTCTATTCCTGTTTTAGTTGTTTGCATAGTTTGTTTTTGTTTTTGTTTTTGTTTTTTTTAGGTTCAGTCGTTGATAGTTGTGAGTTTGATGTCATTTTAATGTTCATATTTTTGATCATCTTCTTTTTCTTAGATAAGTCCCTTTAACATTTCATATAATAAGGGCTTGGTGATGATGAACTACTTTAACTTTAACTTGCCTGGGAAGCACTTTGTCTGCCCTTCCATTCTAAATAATAGCTTTGCTGGAGAGCATAATCTTGGATGTAGGTCTTTGCCTTTCATGACTTTGAATACTTCTTTCCAGCCCCTTCTTGCCTGCAAGGTTTCTTTTGAGAAATCAGCCAATAGTTTTATGTGAATTCCTTTGTAAGTAACTGTCTCTTTTTCTGTTGTTGTTTTTAAGATTCTCTCCTTATGTTTAATCTTGGGTAATGTAATTATGTTGTGCCGTGGTGTGTTCCTCTTTGGGTCCAACTTCCTCGGGACTCTCTGAGCTTCCTGGACTTCGTGGAAGTCTGTTTTCTTTGCCAGATTAGGGAATTTCTCCTTCATTATGTTTTCAAATAAGTTTTCAATTTCTTGCTCTTCCTCTTCTCCTTCTGGCACCCCTATGATGGGATGTTGGAACATTTAAAATTGTCCCTGAGGTTCCTAAGCCTCTCCTCATTTTTTTGAATTCTCATTTCTTCATTCTGTTCTGGTTGAATGTTTATTTCTTACTTCTGGTCCACACCATTGATTTGAGTCCCAGTTTCCTTCCCTTCACTGTTGGTTCCCTGTACATTTTTCCTTATTTCACTTTGCATAGCCTTCACTTTTTCCTCTGTTTTGTGACCATACTCCACCATTTCTGGGAGCATCCTGATTACCAGTGTTTTGAACTCTGCATCTGATAGGTTGGCTATCTCTTCATCGCTTAGTTGTATTTTTTCTGAAGCTTTGATCTGTTCTTTCATTTGGGCCATATTTCTTTGTCTGGGCATACCTGTTACATAGTAAGGGGTGGAGCCTTAGGTATTTGCCAGGGTGGGGCAACCCATATCGATGTGCTGTGGTGCTCTATGTGGGGGAGGGATACCAGAGGGAACAATGCCACTTGTTTGGCTCTCTGCCGGCTTTCAGTCACTTCCCCCACTACCCACAAGCAAATTGGGCCCTTCTGGTGCTGGTTCCTGAGTGGGTGGGCTTGTGTACATTCTAGAACCCTGGGTCTCTCCAACAGGCTCTCCTGTGAGGCTGGGAGTTTCTCCTGCCCTCGCAATCCCCATAGGCTTTTTCAGTCAGAGGTCTTGAGGCTTTATTTCCCTACACAGGAACCCTAGGTTTTGCGATCTGTCTTGCTCCCCAGTTGTTCTTCCTGGTTTATCTGCATGTGAATGTGGGACCACAGCCGCTACCTCTCTCTACATGGTCCTCCAGATGCCACCTTGTCGCACATCTTCTCCACCCCTGTTGCCCATCTGCGCCCCTCCTACCGGTCTGGATGAATGTTTCTTGCTTGACTCCTTCATTATCGGATTTCCATATAGTTTGATTTTCTGGAAATTCTGGTTACTTTTTGGTTTTAAATTTATTGTCGTTTTTATTTTGGTTGTATGAGGAGGCAAAGTGTATCTACCTACCCCTCCATCTTGCCCAGAAGTCAGAAATTTCTTAATAGTACTGATATGAAAGTGTTCTGTTTTTTAGCAACTAAATTGATCTTAGGTTTTCCTTTGCAGGTAGATTGGACTTTAAACATTGGAGAACAAGCCCTTGATATAAGTATTATGTCTTTCAATCAGTCAGCATCTTCTGTTTTTGTTCTTGGTGAAAGAAACTTTTTTTGCCTGAAGGATAATGGACAGATTCAGTTCATGAAGAAACTTGATTATAGCCCAAGTTGTTTTCTCCCATACTGCTCAGGTGTGTAGAAAGGTTTCCTTTGATCTTTTCCATATGGCAAAGCTATGTTATATACATCAGAAAAAGGCAAACTCACATAGTACATTTTAAACCTCTAGGAAGATAGTTTTATACTGAGCATGTAATGGAAATTTCAACTTTTAAAGTTTTAATAGAACTTTGATATAAAGTACACATTTGGGTTTGTTGGTCATTTTACTTTGTATGAAATGATTTGTAGAATGGGCCTGAGGCATACATTAATGCTTTCCAAAATGTGGCTGTTCAGGATGCTTCCAAGAGAACATCACACTTTTTTATGGGCAGAATGGAGCATAGTAGTGCCTAATACAATGACTTTTCTGTAGTGAATGCCCAGTAAATCACTAGCTTAACTGTGTTAAATATTAATAAAATTCATGCTTGCTAGATGAAATGCAAAAATGTTGGCCACTCTTTGGTTATGGTTTCCAAGTCTTTAATTTTTTTCTTTTAAATGTTAGTTTGGAGTTGAAAAATCATGTCTTATTACTTAAAATCTTTACACTTCAACATCAAGACATTATAATTAGCTTGTATCATAAATCCCCTAAAAGGAATATAATATACTGTTACAAATGACAATTTTCTCATTATCCTCCTTTTCTGTCTTCAACCTCCAGTTTCTGAAGGGACAGTAAACACTCTGATTGGAAACCATCACTGCATGCTGCATGTTTTTCAGGACGTGACACTGAAGTGGGCCACGCAGCTCCCCCACGTCCCTGTGGCTGTGAGAGTGGGCTCTCTACAGTAAGTGACTCGGTTAACATTCTTGTTAAAAAAGAGAATCCTAGCCAAGGGATTCTCAAGAAGTTTTATGGAACAATGGCGAGTGATGTTACTGAAAAATGAACTTTGCTAAAAAAGTGGCACTGCAGTGCGAGTGTCAGTGGTAGAAATAATTTAAAACATAACTGTCATTAAAAAAGAGAAATGTAAACATTCTTAATTTGAACCACTGATCATTTTTACTTAGTATTTCTAGTGAGATATCCTTTGTGAGTTAAAGTTTTCAAGAAAATAGCTTGCCTGGTAGATTTTTTTTCAAAATAGAAAAGAATTTCTGTAAGCATTTGATGCTTGTCATTGAGAGATACCTTGTTGTTGGACTGTGAGACTATTACGCTTCAGATGTGTGTTAGACCTGTGTCCAGTGCAGTGAAATTGCTAATGAAGACATGTGTGAGACAGTTTAGATATTAAATAGGGCACTTTGCATTTACAGTGAAAGGCAAAATTTATGTCTTGATATTAAATTTGCAAAATTTATCAGAAATGAGAGAAAGGTGATAGGAAGTTTGTATTTTTATAGCTTGTCAATATAAAAGGCAAGAACTCAGATTATGTTTAGGAATTGAAAATCTTGGTAAATGTATAGAAACACACTTTCTATAAAGTGTCATGGATTCCCAGATTTATTCAGTTTTGCTTATTATGTCGTGCTATTGAACATTTATAAAATATACATAGAATTCTTCAATGGCATCTATAGTATCTGATCAGTACAACTTATCCCTCCAAATTAGGAGCTTGAATGTTATACATCCTGTAAAGGCATGTTGGCCAACAACGATGGTCCCATAAAATTATGATGGGGCTGAAGAATTTGCATAGCCTCGTGGTGATGAAGCTGTTGTCACAGTTAGAACAACATACCACTCATGTGTTTGTGGTGATGCTGGTGTGAGCAAATCTATTGACCTGCCAGTTGTATAAAAGTATAGCTCATACAGTTATGTACAGTACATAATACTTGACAATGATAATAAATGAAAATGTTACTGGTTTATGTATTTATTATATTACACTTTTCTTTGTTATTTTAGTGTAGTCTTTCTGCTTTGAAAAATAGTTTGCTGTATAACAGTATGCTGTATTACTTCAGCAACAGCCTCACATACTCATGATTACCGAGTCTCTTAATTATACCATTTTCTGTTGTGTTGGATTTAATTTTATGTTATTTTGTCCATCATGGTTCCTAAACATACAAAACCCACTGCTAATGTTGCTAGTAAGAGACCATGTCAAGCGACTGGCCTGGAAACAGAATTAAGAACTAAGAAGGTGGAAAATCAGCGATGGTTACTGATTGCCAGTCAGGCTTGTCCCCCTTCACCATAGTTACGAACTTGAAGAATAAGAACCAGTGACAGAAGCTGTAAAAGGATCTGCTTCACTGAAGGCAGCAAGATTAACAGAGATTGACGAAGGATCTCTGTTAGACATGGAGAATCTTCTGACGACCAGACACAGACGTGTGTTCCTTTCAGCACCAAGCTGACCACGGGCAGAGCAAAAGTGTTTGCAGTGTTGGAAAATGAGGCTGGACCCGACTACAGTGTTGCATTTCATGCTAGCTCTGGGTGGTTTAAACGTATCAAGAATCGTTATTCAAGCTATGTATGGTAGCAGGTGGGTACTGGATTTTTCAGGATAATCACATAATAAGTTGTATAACGTCTAACCACTCAGTTGTGCACCTGAAACTAATATTATATGTGAGCTATAATTGAAAAAAATATTTAAAGTGAAAAAAAAGGTTTGAGAATTGAAAAAATTAATGTTCATACCATAATGTACGAGTGAGTGCTAAGTCTGCGAATGCTCACGTGAAGGCAGCTGAAGAATTTTTGGAAGTTCTAGATAAGCTGACTGTGGAGGAAAATTATTTACCAGAGCAAATACTCAGTGTGGATGAAACCTTCCTCTTCTGCAGAGGGATGCCTGAAAGGACTTCCATCCACAAGAAGGCCAAGTCAACGCCAGGTTTCAAGGCTCTTAGGGACAGGGTAACAGCCTTGCTTGGGGGGCATGCTACAGGCTACAGACGGAAGCCCTCTGTGATCTGGCTTCATGAGCACCCAGGGCCTTCAGACACAGGAATAACCCCTCCAGCCTCCCAGGGAACTACAGGCACAGTAAGAGGGCATGGATGACGCAGCTCCTCTCCCAAGATGCCCTCTTGAGTTGCTCTGCTGCAAAATTGTGAAGTAATGTTTGGGGAACTAAATGCCTTTCAAGACTTTTCTTATTGTTGATAATGCTCCTGGGTACTCTTTTTTTATTGGCCTTCTTCATCCTGATGTCAAAATGGTGTTTCTCCCTCTAGCCATCACCTCTTTGATTCAGCCAATGGATTGAGGAGTTATATCAGCTTCTAAGACCTGCTACCTGGGGAGGACCTTTGCCCAGGCTGTTGCTGCAACTGAGGAAAACAATGAGGGGACACTGATACAATTCTGGAAGGATGGTCACATCCATGATGGTATCGAGAACCTTGCTTGGGCTTTGGGTGATGTCACCAAGAAGTGTATGAATGGCATCTGGTAGAAGGCACTCCAGAGGGTTTGTCCATGACTTCAAAAGACTTGCTGAAGATGGGGGAAGCTACAAAAATCGACAAGGCTGTGGTGGAGATGGCAAATAGCTTTAACCTGGGTGTGGGTGGGGATGACACGGAGGAGCTTGTGGAGGTGGCTCCTGAGGAATTGGCTAATGAGGAGGTGTTGGAACTAGAATAAGGAATGCATAGCTGAAGAAGGGACAAGAGGAAACTGCAAGAGAAGAAAAAGAACTCAAATAAAATTCACAGTGAGAGGTGTAACAGAAGTTTTTGCAGACCTCAACAGGCTCCTTAAAAACTTCAAAACCATGGACCCCAATAGCAACAGGTTTTCATTAATAGGGAAGAATGTTTGTGGTGCATTATATGCTTACAAGCAAATCTACGATGAAAAAAAGAAGCAAACTCAGCAACCCCCTGTAGACATATTTCTGAACAGAAGGGCGCCTTCTCAAGGAGAGCCTCAGGCAGGCCCTTCAGGGGTGTTCCAGAAGAAGGCTTTGTTATCATGGGAGAGGACGGCTCCACACATGTTACTGCCCGGGAGACCTTCCAGTGGGACAAGTTGTGGAGGAGGAAGACAGTGATGTTAATGATCCCGACCCTGTGTAGGCTTAGGCTAATGTGTGTTTGTGTATTAGTTTTAAACATTTTTTTATCCTGACCTGAGGCTGTGTTCATTGATTCTAGAGAGAGAGGAAGGGAGAGACAGAGAGAGAGATCAATGTGAGAAACATCAATTGGTTGCCTCCCGTATGCACCCTGACTGGGGATTTAACCCACAGACTAGGTATGTGCCCTGACTGGGAATCAAACTCGCAACCACTTGGTGTACAAGATGGTGCTCTCACTAGCTGAGCTGCCTGGCCAGGGCTGTGTCTTAGTTTTTAACAAAAAATAAATAAAAAATACTTTTTACAGCCATACATGGTATTTGTGTTTTAAGCCAAGTGTTATTACGAAAGAGTTAAAAATTAAAAACTAATAAAGGAAAAAAGTTACAGTAACCTGAGGTTATTATTAAAGAAAGATATTTTGAAGTGAGTTTAGTGTAGCCTAAGTCATGTCCTAGGCCTCACCTTCACTAACCACTCACTCACTGACTCACCTAGAGCAACTTCCCGTCCTGCAGGCTCCATTCATGGTAAGCGCCCTGTATAGCTGCATCATTTTTCATCTTTTACCGAACCTTTCCTATGTGTAGATACACAAATACTTACCATTGTGCAGATACCATGCTGTATCTACAGCCACCTACAGCACTCAGCACAGTAGCGTGCTGTACAGGTTTGTAGCCTAGGAGCAAAGGCTCAACCACATAGCCCAGACCACCTGTACACAGGTGTGCAGCGGGCCAGACCATCCAAGGTTGTGGTAAGTGCACTCCATGATGTTCACACATGACAAAATTGCCTAATGACTCAGAACGTATCCCTGTTGTTAGGGGACACATGACTGTGTTATTGTTGAAGCACAGTTAAGCGCATTCATGTTTGCATTAGTGGTTAATTTGAAACCTGAATATTGGAAAAATGGAAACGTTTGAAAACACTGAATATTTTCAAAGAAGTTGCTTTTTCATGTTTTATGGGAAGATACCATCATATAATTCTAATTGCTATTCAGTTAACACAAATTGTAGTTATTTTGTACCTGAAGAAAAATGTAAAGTTTTGAGATTGGCTTTTGTAGTGTTCACAAAATGGTCTTTTAAGTCCAACCAAACACTCAGACTCACCAGACATTTTACATACGATTTACTTAGAAGGATTTAGAACAGGAAAAGTGTCTTGCCAGCAGGGCAATGTCAAGTATTTCTCTTCAGGGAGAGTAATTCTTGCAACGGCACATATATCCTTCCAAGAGTTGTTCTCTTTGGCCCCCGAGTGACAGCGCAGGTGCAAGAAGACAGGTCCGCTCCGGTGGGTGTGGATTACAGTCCCTGTGCCCTCCACAGCCAGTGTCTTTAAACACTGGAGAGTCACCGTGGTTCATGTACTTGTGTGCAGCATGGGAGAGTGATGTATAGAAAGACGTTATCGAGACCATTTAGTTGAAGTTCTTATTCTACACATATATTATTTACACGGAACGTGCCTACGTCGAGAGTCACCATACTCAGAAGCTCAAAGTTATGGCTTCTCAGGAGATATTTATAGTTAATTTACAGTTTCTGGTCCAGATGCAACTTACAAGCCAAGGGTCTAATTATTAATAGCTGAAATTATTATGATAAATAACCAACTTTCTATGTAGTATGCATCAACGTGCTTATATGAAAAAACAGCCTGTCACGTCTAGACTTTGGTGCTTGTGAAACTTCTGTTTCTCATAGCTTTCTTTTAATGGTTTAAAATGATCATTTTAAACCATTAAAATAATAATCTTAAACAATTAAATGTAA